GTCACCACCACCCACCATGGTCACCACTCACCCACCATGGTCCACCACTCACCATGGTCACCACCACTCACCATGGTCACCACCACCCACCATGGTCACCACCACTCACCATGGTCCACACACTCACCATGGTCACCACCACTCACCATGGTCCACCACTCACCATGGTCCACCACACTCACCATGGTCACCACCACTCACCATGGTCACCACCACTCACCATGGTCACCACCACTCACCATGGTCCACCACTCACCATGGTCCACCATGGTCACCACCACTCACCATGGTCACCACAACCCACCATGGTCACCACCACCCACCATGGTCCACCACTCACCATGGTCACCACCACTCACCATGGTCCACCACTCACCATGGTCACCACAACCCACCATGGTCCACCACCCACCATGGTCACCACAACCCACCATGGTCACCACCACTCACCATGGTCCACCACCCACCATGGTCACCACCACCCACCATGGTCCACCACTCACCATGGTCACCACCACTCACCATGGTCCACCACTCACCATGGTCACCACCACCCACCATGGTCCACCACTCACCATGGTCACCACAACTCACCATGGTCCACCACTCACCATGGTCCACCACTCACCTGGTCCACCACTCACCATGGTCCACCACCCACCATGGTCCACCACCCACCATGGTCCACCACTCACCATGGTCCACCACTCACCATGGTCACCACCACTCACCATGGTCACCCAACCCACCATGGTCACCACCACTCACCATGGTCCACCACTCACCATGGTCCATCACTCACCTGGTCCACCACTCACCATGGTTCACCCCCCACCTGGTCCACCACCCACCATGGTCCACCACTCACCATGGTCCATCACTCACCTGGTCCAACACCCACCATGGTCCACCACTCACCATGGTCCACCACCCACCATGGACCACCTCCCACCTGGTCCATCACTCACCATGGTCCACCACTCACCATGGTCCACCACTCACCATGGTCCACCACTCACCATGGTCCACCACTCACCATGGTCCACCACTCACCATGGTCCACCACCCACCATGGTCACCACCACTCACCATGGTCACCACCACCACCATGGTCACCACCACTCACCATGGTCCACCACAACCCACCATGGTCCACACTCACCATGGTCCACCACTCACCATGGTCACCACTCACCATGGTCCACCACTCACCATGGTCCACCACCCACCATGGTCCACCACTCACCATGGTCACCACCACCCACCATGGTCCACCACTCACCATGGTCACCACCACTCACCATGGTCACCACCACTCACCATGGTCCACCACCACCACCACTCACCATGGTCCACCACTCACCATGGTCCACCACCCACCATGGTCCACCACTCACCATGGTCCACCACCCACCATGGTCCACCACCCACCATGGTCCACCACTCACCATGGTCCACCACTCACCATGGTCCACCACTCACCATGGTCCACCACTCACCATGGTCCACCACTCACCATGGTCCACAACTCACCATGGTCCACCACTCACTATGGTCACCACCACTCACCATGGTCACCACCACTCACCATGGTCACCACTCACCATGGTCACCACACTCACCATGGTCCACCACTCACCATGGTCACCACCACCCACCATGGTCCACCACTCACCATGGTCACCACCACACCACTCACCATGGTCACTCCACCACCCACCATGGTCCACCACTCACCATGGTCCACCACTCACCATGGTCCACCACTCACCATGGTCCACCACTCACCATGGTCACCACACCACTCACCATGGTCCACCACTCACCATGGTCACCACTCACTCACCATGGTCACCACCACTCACCATGGTCACCACCACTCACCATGGTCACCACCACCCACCATGGTCACCACCACCCACCATGGTCACCACCACCCACCATGGTCACCACCACCACCATGGTCCACCACTCACCATGGTCACCACCACCCACCATGGTCACCACAACACTCACCATGGTCACCACTCACTCCACCATGGTCACCACACCACTCACCATGGTCACCACCACCCACCATGGTCACCACCACCCACCATGGTCACCACCACTCACCATGGTCCACCACTCACCATGGTCACCACCACACTCACCATGGTCACCACCACCTCACCATGGTCACCACCACTCACCATGGTCACCACCACTCACCATGGTCACCACCACTCACCATGGTCCACCACTCACCACCACCACTCACCATGGTCACCACCACACTCACCATGGTCACCACTCACTCACCATGGTCCACCACCCACCATGGTCCACCACCCACCATGGTCACTCACCACACCACCATGGTCCACCACCACACTCACCTGGTCCACCACTCACCATGGTCCACCCACCATGGTCCACCACTCACCATGGTCCACCACTCACCATGGTCATGGTCCACCACTCACCATGGTCACTCACCACTCACCATGGTCACCACCATGGTCCACCACCATGGTCCACCACTCACCATGGTCCACCACCACCATGGTCACCACCACTCACCATGGTCACCACCACCATGGTCCACCACCATGGTCCACCACCACCACTCACCATGGTCCACCACTCACCATGGTCCACCATGGTCACTCACCACTCACCATGGTCCACCACTCACCATGGTCCACCACCCACCATGGTCATGGTCCACCACTCACCATGGTCCACCACACCACTCACCATGGTCCACCACTCACCATGGTCCACCACTCACCATGGTCACCACCACCCACCATGGTCACCACACCACCCACCATGGTCACCACCACTCACCATGGTCACCACCACCCACCATGGTCCACCACTCACCATGGTCCACCACCACCCACCATGGTCACCATGGTCCACCTCACCATGGTCCACCACTCACCATGGTCACCACCACTCACCATGGTCCACCACTCACCATGGTCCACCACTCACCTCACCATGGTCACCACACCACCACCATGGTCCACCACCCACCATGGTCCACCACTCACCATGGTCCACCACTCACCATGGTCCACCACTCACCATGGTCCACCACTCACCATGGTCCACCACTCACCATGGTCCACCACTCACCATGGTCCACCACTCACCATGGTCCACCACTCACCATGGTCACCACCACCTCACCATGGTCACCACCACTCACCATGGTCACCACTCACCATGGTCCACCACTCACCATGGTCCACCACTCACCATGGTCACCACCACTCACCATGGTCCACCACAACACCATGGTCCACCACTCACCATGGTCCACCACTCACCATGGTCACCACAACTCACCATGGTCCACCACTCACCATGGTCCACCACTCACCATGGTCCACCACTCACCATGGTCCACCACTCACCATGGTCCACCACTCACCATGGTCCACCACTCACCATGGTCCACCACTCACCATGGTCCACCACTCACCATGGTCCACCACTCACCATGGTCCACCACTCACCATGGTCCACCACTCACCATGGTCCACCACTCACCATGGTCCACCACTCACCTGGTCCACCACTCACCATGGTCCACCACCCACCATGGTCCACCACTCACCATGGTCCACCACTCACCATGGTCCACCACTCACCATGGTCCACCACTCACCATGGTCCACCACTCCACCACTCACCATGGTCCACCACTCACCATGGTCACCACACCACTCACCATGGTCCACCACCACACCACCCACCATGGTCACCACAACACTCACCATGGTCACCACCACCCACCATGGTCCACCACCATGGTCACCATGGTCCACCACTCACCATGGTCACCACCACTCACCATGGTCCACCACCCACCATGGTCCACCACTCACTCACCATGGTCCACCACTCACCATGGTCCACCACTCACCATGGTCCACCACTCACCATGGTCCACCACTCACCATGGTCCACCACCCACCATGGTCCACCACTCACCATGGTCACCACTCACCTCACCATGGTCACCACCACCCACCATGGTCCACCACTCACCACCATGGTCCACCACTCACCATGGTCCACCACTCACCATGGTCACCACCACCCACCATGGTCACCACCACCTCACCATGGTCCACCACTCACCATGGTCACCACCACCCACCATGGTCACCACCACTCACCATGGTCCACCACCCACCATGGTCACCACCACTCACCATGGTCACCCACCCACCATGGTCACCACATGGTCCACCACTCACCCACCATGGTCACCACTCACCATGGTCACCACCACTCACCATGGTCCACCACTCACCATGGTCCACCACTCACCATGGTCCACCACTCACCATGGTCCACCACTCACCATGGTCCACCACTCACCATGGTCCATCACTCACCATGTTCCACATCTCACCATGGTCCACCACTCACCATGGTCATCTCTCACCATGGTCCACCACTCACTATGGTCCACCACTCACCATGGTCCACCACTCACCATGGTCCACCACCCACCATGGTCCACCACTCACCATGGTCCACCACTCACCATGGTCCACCACCCACCATGGTCCACCACTCACCATGGTCCACCACTCACCATGGTCCACCACTCACCATGGTCCACCACTCACCACCACTCACCTGGTCCACCACTCACCATGGTCCACCACTCACCATGGTCACCACCACCTCACCATGGTCCACCACCACTCCACCACTCACCATGGTCCACCACTCACCATGGTCCACCACTCACCTGGTCCACCACTCACTACGGTCCACCACTCACCTGGTCCACCACTCACTACGGTCCACCACTCACCTGGTCCATCACCCACCATGGTCCACCACTCACCATGGTCCACCACCCACCTGGTCCATCACTCACCATGGTCCACCACTCACCTGGTCCACCACTCACCACCACTCACCTGGTCCACCACTCACCATGGTCCACCACTCACCTGGTCCACCACTCACTACGGTCCACCACTCACCTGGTCCACTGCCCACATGTACTCTCCGAGAGACTCGTGCCGCCCACGCACTAGGTTGATGCCGGCCACGCCGCCCACGCCGCCCACGCCGGCCACGCCGCCCACGCCGCCCACGCCGCCCACAGCTTCCAGCTTTGGCTTGAGGCCGCAGCCCTCGTGTGTGCAGCCCCATATCCATGTGTTGCGGTACCTGGAACACACACCTGCATCACACACCTGCAGGGTTCATCAACACTATCACAGCAACACCTGCATCACACACCTGCAGGGTTCACCAACACTATCACAGCAACACCTGCACAACACACCTGCAGGGTTCATCACCACTATCACAGCAACACCTGCATCACACACCTGCAGGGTTCAGCAACACCTGTGTCACCTGTGTCACACACCTGCAGGGTTCATCAACCACAGGGTTCAGCAACACCTGCATCACACACCTGCAACACTATCACAGCAACACCTGGAACACACACCTGCAGGGTTCATCACACTATCACAGCAACACCTGCATCACACACCTGCAGGGTTCATCAACACTATCACAGCAACACCTGCATCACACACCTGCAGGGTTCAGCAACACCTGCATCACACACCTGCAGGGTTCATCAACACTATCACAGCAACACCTGCATCACACACCTGCAGGGTTCAGCAACACCTGCATCACACACCTGCAGGGTTCATCAACACTATCACAGCAACACCTGCATCACACACCTGCAGGGTTCATCAACACTATCATAGCAACACCTGCATCACACACCTGCAGGGTTCAGCAACACCTGTGTCACACACCTGCAGGGTTCATCAACACTATCACAGCAACACCTGCATCACACACCTGCAGGGTTCAGCAACACTATCACAGCAACACCTGCATCACACTCCTGCAGGGTTCATCAACACTATCACTGCAACACCTGCATCACACACCTGCAGGGTTCATCAACACTATCACAGCAACACCTGCATCACACACCTGCAGGGTTCATCAACACTATCACAGCAACACCTGCATCACACACCTGCAGGGTTCATCAACACTATCACAGCAACACCTGCATCACACACCTGCAGGGTTCAGCAACACCTGCATCACACACCTGCAGGGTTCATCAACACTATCACAGCAACACCTGCATCACACACCTGCAGGGTTCATCAACACTATCACAGCAACACCTGCATCACACACCTGCAGGGTTCATCAACACTATCACAGCAACACCTGCATCACACACCTGCAGGGTTCATCAACACTATCACAGCAACACCTGCATCACACACCTGCAGGGTTCATCAACACTATCACAGCAACACCTGCATCACACACCTGCAGGGTTCATCAACACTATCACAGCAACACCTGCATCACACACCTGCAGGGTTCATCACCACTATCACAGCAACACCTGGAACACACACCTGCAGGGTTCATCAACACTATCACAGCAACACCTGCATCACACACCTGCAGGGTTCATCAACACTATCACAGCAACACCTGCATCACACACCTGCAGGGTTCATCAACACTATCACAGCAACACCTGCATCACACACCTGCAGGGTTCAGCACAGCAACACCTGCATCACACACCTGCAGGGTTCATCAACACTATCACAGCAACACCTGCATCACACACCTGCAGGGTTCATCAACATCACAGCAACATGGAACACACACCTGCAGGGTTCATCAACACCAGCAACACCTGCATCACACACCTGCAGGGTTCATCAACACTATCACAGCAACACCTGGAACACACACCTGCAGGGTTCATCAACACTATCACAGCAACACCTGCATCACACACCTGCAGGGTTCATCAACACTATCACAGCAACACCTGCACAACACACCTGCAGGGTTTCAGCAACACCTGCATCACACACCTGCAGGGTTCATCAACACTATCACAGCAACACCTGGAACACACACCTGCAGGGTTCATCAACACTATCACAGCAACACCTGCATCACACACCTGCAGGGTTCATCAACACTATCACAGCAACACCTGCACAACACACCTGCAGGGTTCATCACCACTATCACAGCAACACCTGCATCACACACCTGCAGGGTTCATCAACACTATCACAGCAACACCTGGAACACACACCTGCAGGGTTCATCAACACTATCACAGCAACACCTGGAACACACACCTGCAGGGTTCATCAACACTATCACAGCAACACCTGCATCACACACCTGCAGGGTTCACCAACACTATCACAGCAACACCTGCATCACACACCTGCAGGGTTCATCAACACTATCACAGCAACACCTGGAACACACACCTGCAGGGTTCATCAACACTATCACAGCAACACCTGCATCACACACCTGCAGGGTTCATCAACACTATCACAGCAACACCTGCATCACACACCTGCAGGGTTCATCACCACTATCACACCAACACCTGTGATAGCAACACCTGACCCGTGACATACCAAGCCTGAACGGTTATCTTAGGGTGGAATAATGTTACTAATTCACTAATAATCCTGAGAGAATCATTAAGGAAATCAAGTATAGTGTCACAACCTTCCTGGAGCAAGCAGACTGTTGCCATGTAAACAAACCCGCCACTTACGCTCAATATTTCTCTTACGACAACATAACACCTTCAGTCTATGGGTTAAATGTGATACAAAAGTGCTCATTAGGACTGGATTTTATTAAGTGCCGATCGAATCCCAAGTCCACTTCCCTAAGTCGATAATGACGAATATGGAGCCATGGTGGTGGTTGTGGTGAGTGGTGGTGGTGGAGCCATGGTGGTGGTTGTGGTGAGTGGTGGTGGTGGAGCCATGGCGGTGGTTGTGGTGAGTGGTGGTGGTGGAGCCATGGTGGTGGTTGTGGTGAGTGGTGGTGGTGGAGCCATGGTGGTGGTTGTGGTGAGTGGTGGTGGTGGAGCCATGGTGGTGGTTGTGGTGAGTGGTGGTGGTGGAGCCATGGTGGTGGTTGTGGTGAGTGGTGGTGGTGGAGCCATGGCGGTGGTTGTGGTGAGTGGTGGTGGTGGAGCCATGGTGGTGGTTGTGGTGAGTGGTGGTGGTGGAGCCATGGTGGTGGTTGTGGTGAGTGGTGGTGGTGGAGCCATGGTGGTGGTTGTGGTGAGTGGTGGTGGTGGAGCCATGGTGGTGGTTGTGGTGAGTGGTGGTGGTGGAGCCATGGTGGTGGTTGTGGTGAGTGGTGGTGGTGGAGCCATGGTGGTGGGTGTGGTGAGTGGTGGTAGGAGCCATGGTGGTGGTGGTGGAGCCATGGTGGTGATTGTGGTGAGTGGTGGTGGTGGGAGCCATGGTGGTGGTTGTGGTGAGTGGTGGTGGTGGAGCCATAGTGGTGGTTGTGGTCAGTGGTGGTGGAGCCATGGTGGTGGTTGTGGTCAGTGGTGGTGGTGGGAGCCATGGTGGTGGTTGTGGTCAGTGGTGGTGGTGGAGCTATGGTGGTGGTTGTGGTCAGTGGTGGTGGTGGGAGCCATGGTGGTGGTTGTGGTCAGTGGTGGTGGTGGAGCCATGGTGATGGTTGTGGTCAGTGGTGGTGGTGGTGGAGCCATGGTGGTGGTTGTGGTCTGTGGTGGTGGTGGAGGAGCCATGGTGGTCGTTGTGGTCAGTGGTGGTGGTGGAGGAGCCATGGTGGTGGTTGTGGTCAGTGGTGGTGGTGGAGGAGCCATGGTGGTGGTTGTGATCAGTGGTGGTGGTGGAGGAGCCATGGTGATGGTTGTGGTCAGTGGTGGTGGTGGAGGAGCCATGCTGGTGGTTGTGGTCAGTGGTGGTGGTGGAGGAGCCATGGTGATGGTTGTGGTCAGTGGTGGTGGTGGAGCCATGGTGGTGGTTGTGGTCAGTGGTGGTGGAGGGAGCCATGGTGGTGGTTGTGGTCAGTGGTGGTGGTGGAGCCATGCTGTTGGTTGTGGTCAGTGGTGGTGGTGGAGGAGCCATGGTGGGGGTTGTGGTCAGTGGTGGTGGTGGTGGAGCCATGGTGGTGGTTGTGGTCAGTGGTGGTGGAGGAGCCATGGTGATGGTTGTGGTCAGTGGTGGTGGTGGAGCCATGGTGATGGTTGTGGCCAGTGGTGGTGGTGGAGCCATGGTGGTGGTTGTGGTCAGTGGTAGTGGTGGAGCCATGGTGGTGGTTGTGGTCAGTGGTGGTGGTGGTTGTGGTCAGTGGTGGTGGAGCCATGGTGGTGGTTGTGGTCAGTGGTGGTGGTGGAGCCATGCTGATGGTTGTGGTCAGTGATGGTGGTGGTGGAGCCATGGTGGTGGTGGTTGTGGTCAGTGGTGGTGGTGGAGCCTTGGTGGTGGTTGTGGTCAGTGGTGGTGGTGGTGGAGGAGCCATGGTGGTGGTTGTGGTCAGTGGTGGTGGTGGAGGAGCCATGGTGGTGGTTGTGGTCAGTGGTGGTGGTGGTGGAGCCATGGTGGTGGTTGTGGTCAGTGGTGGTGATGGAGGAGCCATGGTGGTGGTTGTGGTCAGTGGTGGTGGTGGAGGAGCCATGGTGGTGGTTGTGGTCAGTGGTGGTGGTGGAGGAGCCATGGTGGTGGTTGTGGTCAGTGGTGGTGGTGGAGGAGCCATGGTGGTGGTTGTGGTCAGTGGTGGTGGTGGAGCCATGGTGGTGGTTGTGGTCAGTGGTGGTGGTGGTGGAGCCATGGTGGTGGTTGTGGTCAGTGGTGGTGGTGGAGCCATGGTGGTGGTTGTGGTCAGTGGTGGTGGTGGTGGAGCCATGGTGGTGGTTGTGGTCAGTGGTGGTAATGGAGGAGCCATGGTGGTGGTTGTGGTCAGTGGTGGTGGTGGGAGCCATGGTGGTGGTTGTGGTCAGTGGTGGTGGAGGAGCCATGGCGATGGTTGTGGTCAGTGGTGGTGGTGGAGGGAGCCGTCACGTCGTCCCTGGCCTTGGGGGAAATGACAGTGCTGAGTGGCGGTGGCTGGAAAGGCCAGGTGATATAATCTGAGATCTCCACACCCATGGTCAGGTACCAGGCTCCTGCTCCACACCCATGGTCAGGTACCAGGCTCCTGCTCCACACCCATGGTCAGGTACCAGGCTCCTGCTCCACACCCATGGTCAGGTACCACGCTCCTGCTCCACACCCATGGTCAGGTACCAGGCTCCTGCTCCACACCCATGGTCAGGTACCAGGCTCCTGCTCCACACCCATGGTCAGGTACCTGGC